AAAAATACTTAACACGTTTTAGATTAAGCTCACATAGTTTAAATATTGAGCAAGGCAGGTACAGAAATCAACCAAGAGAACAACGACTTTGTACATTCTGTAACGCTAATGATGTTGAAGATGAATTCCATTTTATACTTAAATGCAAATTTTATGAGGATTTTAGGCATGAATATATTAAACCTTATTTTTACAAACGACCAAGTGTTTTCAAGTTAATAGAACTGTTCAATACCAAAATCGTTAAAGATCTAAATAACCTAGGCAAATTTTTGCATTTAAGTACAAAACGACGAAATAATATTGTTTAACTAAATATAATACTGCATGTTCTGTATGTTATACCCACATACAGGTATATTGTGTTTTAATAATCTATGTTATGCATTGTACACTATTGCATCAACTGTAATTTGTGTTATACATTGTGATATCTTGTACATATGTATGTCTACTCTCCGATGTGTTGTAAACATAAGGAAATAAAGAATCTGAATTCATTCAAATACATGTTACTTATTTTATAAGTAGTACACCATTCATTTAAAATACATGCCACTTATTTGTTTACACATACAAACTGCCGCCCTGGTAAGCATGTATTGAATATATATGTTTGTAGTAATATCCTGTACCTATAAGTTGTAAACTTTTGGAGAAAAAAAAATGAAAAAAATGAACTCTTCTATATGTCGGTAATGTTGATGTATACAAGATTGTGCAACTTCCTCTTTATTTCATGTATGTAATAATTAGCATAAGAGTTATCGCTCTTACACCTTAACATGATCACATTTTCGTGTTTATTACAATATTCAAAAATGGTTAAGTTAATTTGCAGGTGAAAACTAAACCGATGAAGGATTTACAGTTTTACAAATGCTAAGCTTTTTGATCAGTTAGGTGAAATCAAACGGCTTCTTACATCATTAATGTGTCACTTTATTTTTAAATGTATTTTATGTATAAACCCATGCAGCAATCTTACATGAAATATTAAAGCATGACTTGTTGTCTTTAGACAAGTTCAAAAAAAGAAATTGTTGCTTTAATTTAATTTTTACTTAACAAACAAAAAATAATTAATGTTTTGCAAAAAAATTAATTCAATTCAAACAAAAAGCAAGATATTAGAAATGTGTGTATCATGTGATCGATACATTGATTGATAGAATAAATATATGAGTCACATAGATATTTTTTGTATTTAAAAATTGTTGAGCTGATTGAAATGAGATGAGATTCTGTACTAATTGTTTTTTACAAACACGTTATGAAATATATAAAGATTGATCACCTGTTTTCCCCCCTAAATTTGTTGTTAGAAACAGATATCAATACAATTCCGGTTTAGGACCATCCTGTCTTACAAAATACACAATTTGATATTGAGTAAAACCCAAATCATAGGCACATCTAAATTCAGCTGTTTGTCGTTTGCAATTTTCATCGAGTCGGCAAAAACTTTTGCTCTTTATTGCTAATGTTCATTGTCAAATTTCAATACCCTGTTTGTTTTTCTTTTTTACCTCCTTACGTTTACGAGTGGTGTCAATAAGTGAACTACATGCAGAACAATTAATTTAGAAAAACAAAATGTCATAGCTATAACATATAACTGAATACCAAAAAAAACTGTTTTCGAAATATATATGATTTGTTCCAAAATACAGGGGACAAATGCCGAAAAAAATTGCGTTACTTGTGTTCAAATTCAGGTTTACTCGATACAGTGACATCACAGTTTGAGTAGACAAATACGTGCATTTATCAAATCAAACAAAATCTATTTTAAGATATCAATATCTTATCATAATTGTCTAACCTTCTTCTACGCTTATATACATGAAGCACTGCATATCTTATTCGTTTAAAAAAGGGAATAAAAGGTTTGGATCCTAAATCAATATTCGCATTAGAATAAGAATTCATATTTTTTAAGAAGAATTTTGTTGGTAGCAAAAACTGTTGAGACAATGATCAAGGTTGGTAGTAATCGGTTCGACACAAAATTTACTGCGTTTCATTAAATCACATCATTACCAATGCAAGTGCTAGTTATTTCGGAAATTAAAGCGAACGTGTCAAATTTTAAATAAAAATCACTATAACACTGCGTTTTATCTACTATATATAGGTTGAATGGACTATTGATATTTTGTCTCCTATCTTAGTAAATTCAGTTAAACTGTACCGGTATATGTGTACTTAACTTTATACGTGCGTTCGATTTCACACAAATGTGGCTCTTAAAACTTTATGGGAGAGATAAAACCCACACGACCCATCAACTAAGTAAACACTGAGCACCGTAACAATAGTGTCGGGATGCATTTATCATTGACCACCAGCAAGCTACTTTGTGTGGCAGATGCTATCAGAAAGCCACCTTCATAAATTGCACAGAATAAGATAATATGTAGGAGGAACAGTTTTACTAACAGGTAAGATACGGTTTGTGACGGTGATTACGGGTGTCTGTGTCGCGGGGGATAACCTACGTGTAGTACGTGTAGTACAGAGCCCCGTTGAAGCCACTTGGACACGTTTTCGTCTGTTAAGTTGTGTTTAATTAGTCGAAAGGTTTTATTGGACTGGTGCAGCCAGTCGATACAGACATCAATAATCTGACACGTTGCGGATGTGACGTCCCCCTTCTCTTGATCAGCCTTTAGACCGTGTAGACCGCGAACTTATACCAAGCCTGGTTTTCGAGTTCTGATACAGCCAAAAGTCTGCCTTTATCACCCTACAGTCTGGGGACATGGCGAGAGGGACTTTAGTTCTCAGAGGTAAGTCACATGACCTAATGAGTAGTGATGAAGCATAGTCTACTTCATAAATGTGTGAAGAAAATCCATATGAAGGAGAAGCGTAATATGTAGTTTCTAGTTTAACACATAAATAATTTTGAAGTGCAATTATCAAAATAGAAAAAAATGTTTTCACGAGTGCAAGGCTCGAGTGCAAATACCGATATATTCTACAACGTTGGTAGAGTTTTTGTGATATTAAACAGAAAAAAAAATCGTTTTTCATAATAATAACTTTTAAAACTTTATACACAGAGGATTTTTAATTGAATCAAAACAGATTTGATAACATAAATGTTATTCAATTGTACAGGTAAGATGTCCAAAAAACAACCATTACTCGTCGCATCATTGTATCTAGACAGAAAATGTACGACTTTGAACGGAGTATGATACAGAGCATGGCCCCCAACTCTCGATCACACTTGCCTAAACATGAAAATTACATTGTACCTTTCCCGATTGTACTTGTGTTTAATGATACTTAATTTATAGCGCTGTAAATTTTAAAAGGTTGTTTGCTTTATGAAACAAGAGCACACATTATGTGACCTCAAAACCATTAGTTATACAGTATCACGAACGTTTCCTTTTCACAACATATGTTGTATTCCCATATTACCTTTATAAACTACATATTTGCTAATTATTTGCTAAATAATGCTACCGACCCAAAATGTTGTTATGAAAACATAACGCAAAATATATTACACGTAACATTTTTCCTATTGGAAACTGTTCTGATAGTTCCACCTATTATATATATGTCTCACGTAAAAATATGTAGGACCTGTCTCAGTGTGGTCTGTGATGTCACTGACGATCTTTTCTGTCATTCCAGTATAACCGATATAACTTATAAAAATTGGAAAAATAGTAATCGATTGTTGCTTTATGAATAAACGTATGCGATGAATATTTATTCATATTTAACATTCAAAGTGCTTTTGAAGCAAGTGGTACTTGTTCAAAAGCAATGGTGATTTTTTTTCTGTAAGAGGATAGTTATAACAAAGCGGTATACAAGTGACAATGGTAGAGATGTTAAATCCTTGATTTATCTAATCGAGATAGATGTATGTCCAATGACAACACTGTCCGAGATTTCGTGAAAGGACCAAACTCAAAGTGTAGAATATCTGACAAACAGTTAAGTTCGACATAATGAGTATTAAGGACCTCTGCCTCATGTCTTACACTGTTCCACTGTTTTTATCTACAATATATACAGTAACAGTCCCCTAATTTCGATTTAGACATAACTGTAGCGCAATGGGCAAGTGGACTTACGTTGAAGAGATAGCTCAGTTGGTAAGAGAGCTAGTTTAACGATTATAGGTCCAGGGTTCGAATCTGTTTCTAGCCGCCGATTATTTACACCAAGAGGCCTTTTGATAATCAATCATTTGTTTACATCTTTGATCATTTACATAAACAAACACCAGTCCCTTCATGAAGGTAAAACATTTCCCAATGCATAGTGACAGTGGTAAGCAGCGCTTCGCTAGTGTTCTATATCGTACTGACGTGTGTGTATTCATGCTGAGTTCATTTATTGCTATAGTATAACAAATATCCCTCGCCTCCACCATCAAAAGGTAGATAATAAAGTAGATTAGAATCAACCATATGGTCCAATCATTAATCATCACAGAGACACGTAAACCCCCACGTGTCACCAGTCTCATAAAACTCGACTGCACCAGGAAGCTAAAGGAGAAATATCTGTATTTATTTTAGACAAAATACGTTTAGCGACCTAATCGATCACATAGTGGAAATAGCATATACTCAGGTAATAAATGTTATATAGATAATCAACGCTTTATAGAAATATCCCTAAATGGCTGTATTGTCACATATTGTGTAAACGATTTTAATATTACTTCATTCCTAATAAAAAAAAAAAAAACATTTTGAAAGTTTGTTCGAAAACCCCATTTCATTTATCTCCAAACGTATGATGTCCACTTCGCAAGGTAAACATCCATTGATTCATAATTATATTTAATTTATAAAGAAAATACCCACTATCATTAAGTACCAAATAAACGGAAGTGAGATAAAAGAAAGTAGGAAAACACAAAAGGGATTAGCAAGCAATGCCAGGTTTTGTATGATACAACGTACAACGGTTTGCACCAGCTATCTATCTATTCACAGTTATCCCAGCATGACTGGCTATAGAACACTAGGATAAGACTTTATATTTTGCAATAAAAAGCTTAAATCTGCGAAGGTCGTAATGACCTCCGTTTTCGAAATCTTGTGACTTTTCTAACAAACACACATTTGCTTCAGCGACTATTGCCTCGATATGGGAAACCACATCTGTAACGTCACACACAAGTTCAACCCTGTTTAAACAGCCTTAATATAATTTAAGAGGAAACTTTGATCGTGCATTCGAATAACAATGTATTTAGCTATTTATAAGAGCGTAGCTCTCGGGCGCCGAAGGCGCTAGAGCGAATCTCTTTAATGGTAACACATGCGTGCGTAAACAGAAGTCTATCAGAAGTGTAACGGTTCTCACTCACTCTCTATCAGGAATGTAACGGTTCTCACTCACTCTCTATTAGAAGTGTAACGGTTCTCACTCACTCTCTATCAGGAATGTAACAGTTCTCACTCTCTATCAGAAGTGTAACGGTTCTCACTCACTCTCTATCAGGAATGTAACGGTTCTCACTCACTCTCTATCAGAAATGTAACAGTTCTCACTCTCTATCAGAAATGTCACGGTTCTCACTCACTCTCTATCAGAAGTGTAACGGTTCTCACTCACTCTCTATCAGAAATGTAACGGTTCTCACTCACTCTCTAGCAGAAGTGTAACGGTTCTCACTCACTCTCTATCAGAAGTGTAACAGTTCTCACTCACTCTCTATCAGAAGTGTAACGGTTCCCACTCACTCTCTATCAGAAGTGTAACGGTTCCCACTCACTCTCTATCAGAAGTGTAACGGTTCTCACTCACTCTCTATCAGAAGTGTAACGGTTCTCACTCACTCTCTATCAGAAGTGTAACGGTTCTCACTCACTCTCTATCAGAAGTGTAACGGTTCTCACTCACTCTCTATCAGAAGTGTAACGGTTCTCACTCACTCTCTATCAGAAGTGTAACGGTTCTCACTCACTCTCTATCAGAAGTGTAACGGTTCTCACTCACTCTCTATCAGAAGTGTAACGGTTCTCACTCACTCTCTATCAGAAGTGTAACGGTTCTCACTCACTCTCTATCAGAAGTGTAACGGTTCTCACTCACTCTCTATCAGAAGTGTAACGGTTCTCACTCACTCTCTATCAGAAGTGTAACGGTTCTCACTCACTCTCTATCAGAAGTGTAACGGTTCTCACTCACTCTCTATCAGAAGTGTAACGGTTCTCACTCACTCTCTATCAGAAGTGTAACGGTTCTCACTCACTCTCTATCAGAAGTGTAACGGTTCTCACTCACTCTCTATCAGAAGTGTAACGGTTCTCACTCACTCTCTATCAGAAGTGTAACGGTTCTCACTCACTCTCTATCAGAAGTGTAACGGTTCTCACTCACTCTCTATCAGAAGTGTAACGGTTCTCAATCACTCTCTATCAGAAGTGTAACGGTTCTCACTCACTCTTTATCAGAGGTGTAACGGTTCTCACTCACTCTCTATCAGAAATGTAACGGTTCTCACTCACTCTCTATCAGAAGTGTAACGGTTCTCACTCACTCTCTATCAGGAATCTAACAGTTCTCACTCACTCTCTATAAGGAATGTAACGGTTCTCACTCACTCTCTATCAGGAATGTAACGCTTTTCACTCACACTCTTGTTGTGACAATATAACATCGGGGAAATTTGAATTTGAGCTCTGTTTTTAATACAAAGTATTAAGCGATTTCATAAATATATATATATACACCGTAAAATCAGCAATCATATCTTTAGATTTTACTCAATTAATAATGATAGTCGATTTATCATCAGCTTTCGAAACCAGTTAAACTGTTGAATTAAAGGATTCCTGTGAGAAATGAGCCAGATCGAAATGTAGGGATTTCATTATTAGAATGCCACAAGGATAAATACTGGGACCTATATGTTTGTACCGTTGATCGACGATATTCCAGGTGACCTTGTGTTATCTATATATAACACATACAGGTGTTATAAGTAGTTACTACAGGCACTGTATCGAAACAAACAAGTCGATAGGTGCGTACTACGTCAATCGATATATATAGGCCAAGATGTAATGACGAGAGTGCAGACAATGGAATTTGCCAAATTCTAGAAAGAAACCAGATTATGATGCGTATTTCTTTATGTGATTGATATTAGGTCTCGTACATGTAGGTTATAACGACGACCCGGCAGTTTGGTTCAATATGGGCATTGATCCGAACCAACACATGTTCATTGGATGCATGTTACTTAAATAGATATATAATCGAATAATTAATAGCAACAGTGCAGGCAAAGAAAGTTGTCAAATGTTCCAAACTATCCGCCCCTTTATAAAGACAGAAACATGAACTGTTACATATCACAACATATAACACAGAGATAAAAACAGCCACCATGAAACGATACCCCATCACAAAGTACAAACAACTAGTTATTACCTATATAATATGTAAATGTTAACGCATATCCCTTCGATCTCTCGATAGCCAAAGGAAATTTATAGCTGGATTCATTCTGATAATTCGTAGATAAAACATGTATATGAAAGCAGTGAATACAGCCATAAATGTAGTCGTATTTTCTATGTATTAACAGGAGTTAAAAACATAGAAGTGTCTGTGCATACTCTTGACCTTTCACTCAAATGAGGAAGGAAATACGTTCTGTCCTCAGGCCGGGCCACAGCAGAGTCCTAGCATGGTAGTACAGTGTGACCATTCCCAGCGTGCTGTTCAGTATTTAGGGTGTACTCGCTGTCAGTACAGTGTAGTCATTGCCAGCGTGCTGTTCGGTATTTAGGGTGTA